ACCCTTCATCCCCGCAGGTTAACCCACAGTATAACCCGCAGACGCCAGGGACACCAGCCATGTGAGTCCACTGGGACTAGCCCTAATTAACCCCTGCCCAAATTCCCCCCTCTGCCACCACCTCTTTGCCAGCCCCAACAAATGCTCCCTTCTCTCCTTGTCTCTGCAGGTACAACACGGACCAGTTTTCCCCCTATGCTGCTCCCTCTCCACAAGGCTCCTACCAGCCCAGCCCCAGCCCCCAGAGCTACCACCAGGTGGCACCAAGTCCAGCCGGCTACCAGAACACCCACTCTCCTGCCAGCTACCACCCCACGCCCTCACCCATGGCCTATCAGGTGCTGGTCAGCTGTCATACCCTTGAGGTGGTGGGCTAGGGTGGGCCTCAGGCCTTTAATGATATCCATGCCAGGTGATCTGTTCGCAACAACACTGCTCCTAAATCCCTTACAGGCTAGCCCAAGCCCAAGCCCTGTTGGCTACAGTCCGATGACACCTGGAGCCCCCTCTCCTGGTGGCTACAACCCGCACACACCGGGCTCAGGCATTGAGCAGAACTCTAGTGACTGGGTAACCACTGACATCCAGGTGAAGGTGCGGGACACCTACCTGGATACGCAGGTGGTGGGGCAGACAGGTGTTATCCGCAGTGTCACGGTAAGTGGGGCCCAGGCTGGTGGATGGGCAGGCATCCTCTCCTTTGGGGTTCCCAATCTCTGTGGTTATTATTTGTCTTTCTTCTTTTTAATTGTCTAAGCACGTCTCTCAGTACCCATTTATAGCTGGATAAAAAGATGGGGAAAGGTTTGGCATGCAGGCTCCACAAGGCTGATCCTAGCCTTGTCCCATGTTGTGCTCATGACTGGGGTCACAGCTGCCTGGGACAGTGATTGGCATCCATGAGTATGGTAACTTCATGACAAGCTCCTCTGAGATCAATTCAGTAACACGGACTGACTGCTCCATTGTGCCAGGCTTCAGCTTAGTGCTGGGTACCCACAGCCCCTGGACTCTGCCTGCAGCAGTGCTACTGGTTTCTCCATTTTCAGTCACCAAGTTCCCTCTAGCCTCAGGACCTTCGCTTATCACTTTCCTCTGTCTAGAAATCTCTTCCTTCCATTCTTTGTCTAATTAACTTCTGTTCATCCTCAAGGAAACACCTAGGCTATTTATTCAGGTCTGTTACTTATAGGTCCATGTAATTCTTTTTCATGTTATCTGCTTCTGCCTAAAGGCTTAGTTTGCCCTGGTGATTCTTTGATTACTAATACTGTGTTTTATTCCTAAGTAGTCCCAGTTCCTAGACAAGGAACTGGCACCTCGTTGGCCTTCCAGAAAGTGTTAGTTGAATTAATTAAACAAGCATCAGAGACCAAGAGAGCTCCGGGCCCTGCCCTTAGGATTTCACTTTTCCAGTGGGACATATCCCCAGACATGCCCCTGACACTGGCAGCCTGAATGGCCAGACCTGGGATACAGGAAGCCCCAGAGGGCAAGAGGACATATGTAAACCCAGAGGGTTTCAGGGAAGACTTCCTGGAGGAGACATCTGCACTGAGACCTGAAGAATAGGAGTAAGCCCAGAGAAATGGATGGGGTAGGGGCTAACTGTGTTCCAGATAGAGGGGACTCACGGAGGCCTAGAGGTGAGGGAAAGCCTGGCACATCTGGGGGAGTTGAAATGTGTTCATTGTGGCTGGAACATAAAGAACCAAGGTGGACTGTGATGAAGCCAGAGAAGTGGCTAGGGCCAGAGCACATGTCAGGTGGGGAACGTGGACTGTGTCCTGAGGACACTGGGAGGTCATGGAAAAAACTAAGCAGGGATCAGATATATAGTTTGGAATTAATTCATCATGTTGCTTTATCAGGGATGGGTTGGGGTGGTGACACTGGAGGCTGGAAGCCTGGGGGAAGCTCAGGCTGTACTACAGGGCCTGAGGAATAGAGAGGGGAGGGAGGGAGGTGGGAGAGATTCTCAGGAGGTTGTATGGACAGGCCTCAGCTGGAGGTTGTCAGTGAAAGAGCTGACTAAGACAAGGTACAGAATGCTGACTGGGGACAAGGGAGGAACAAGTGTAGGGAAGCAGCTGAAGCCAGTTTGGGATGTGAAGGGTTAAGTGCCTGAGAAGCAGTTTTCCTGGTTGGCCTAAGCTTCATTCTGGTGCTTCCCTTGCTGATCTGGTCACCCCGCCTCCACACACCATAGACTCCATCCAGCCTTGGAACTGGCCCAGCCTTGGCCTTTCCTGCCTTGTGTCACCTTGGGAAAGTGACTTCTTAGAATGAGCCCTGAGCCTGTGTCTTGAGTGTGACTATCAGTCCTATGTTGGAAGCAGGCCAGGCTGACCAGGCTGTCCCCACCCTCAGGGAGGCATGTGCTCCGTGTACCTGAAGGACAGTGAGAAAGTTGTCAGCATCTCCAGTGAGCACCTGGAGCCCATCACCCCCACCAAGAACAACAAGGTAAGGAGGGGCAAGGGGCTGTGGAGACACGGGGCTGTTGACATGGATCCTGACTCCATGTCCCCCTCTCCAGGTAAAGGTGATCCTGGGTGAGGATCGGGAAGCCACAGGTGTACTGCTGAGCATTGATGGTGAGGACGGCATCGTCCGCATGGACCTTGATGAACAGCTCAAGATCCTCAACCTCCGCTTCCTGGGGAAGCTCCTGGAGGCCTGAGGCAGGCCAGGCAGGTGGACCTCAGTAGACATCTGGCAGATAGAGGGTGTCCCTCCTTCCTTCCCTGGCCCTTGGCCGTGACAGAGGATCTGAGTGTGGAGTAGGCCCTAGCCTGGTTGTTCAGGATTTCCTTTGTTTTCCTTTCTGGTTCCTATCTTTCTCCCTGATGTTCATGGGAATGAGTAGAATCTGGGGGAGGGTCCCCACGTTCTTGTATTTCTCCTTTCCCAGCTTGCTTTTATGTTTTTGTCTTTCAATAAAAAGCTATCAAAAAGTCCTTTGTGTATGTGTGGTCTGGTTTGTAAGTGGGCTACTTTGTAGACCCCACTTCCTTGTTGTGTGTGGTCTTGGGCAAGTGACTAGGTCCTACTTAAGTCTCCGTTTCCCCATGTAGAAAATGGTATTGCCTCCACCAGAGGGCCCTTGAGAGGAATGTCTAAGAAGATGTGAAGAAGTTATTGGAACAGAGCCTGCCATGTCATTGATGAACTTACATCTTGACTCATGCTTGAGTTGGGTGGAAATCAGTTAGTGTCCCCAGGAAACCCATGGCCCTCCTGTGGTGCGGTGTAGAGCATCTGATGGTCCTTCGAGCCCACGGAGCCTTGGCACCAGCATTGCTGTAGCTTGTCTCATGGGATGGGGATAGGGATGGGGAGCAGTGTAGAGAATGGAGCTTAGTACCTTGACCTTCCTTCACCTTCTTCATAGTCACGTCTTTTTACAAATGTAACAAAAGGTATTATAAAATATTTCAGGTGTTCAAAAAAATACAAGGACCCATGCCCCCACCACCCAGTCTAGGAAACAAATATACAAGATAGGACCCACTTTAGCGGCACTCCCAGTCCATTCCCCTCCAGAGGTATCCACAACCCTTAATTCCACTTGTCTTTTGGCCAACTTTGTGCTTTAATACTTTGTACCATAGTATTTATCCCTACATGTTAGTCATTTTACATGCTTTTAAAGTTTATATAAACACTATCAGCCTTTCTCCCCCTCAAAATAATTTGAAGGAGATCCATCGGGGCTACCTGTGGCCTCTAATTCATTGATTTCCAACACTCCCGACCCGGCTCGACACAGCCGCTGTTCCTTTGGCCGGTCGCCATGAAATGACTGCCCTTCCAGACCCTTAAGGAGACGCTCATGGGCGGAAGGACAAGAAAGGGCTCTGGCAAGAGTCAAGTAGATACATGGGCCTCCCGGCTCCGTGTTGAGGAAGCGAGTTTGTGAGTGCTGGCAGCCCTAGGGTTCCTTCATTATGGCCTCAGTTTTACCTCTGAGCAATGGCTGTCAGCCCGGTCTAGTGTCCGTGAAGGTGGCTGTGCTAGGGCCGAGGGGGGCGTGGCGCAGGCAGACTCTGTCTCTGTAGGGCGCAGGACCGCGAGAGGATCGCCTCAGGCGAGCACTCCCGCAGCTGTCCACCCTTAGCCCTTTGTCTCCCTTCGGCTGCCGTCCACCGGCTCTGCCCCTGCACTTTCATTGGTCGAAGCTCCGGACCAGGACGAGCGAGAAGGAGGTGAATGGGCGGGGCCATGTGGCGTCAGCACAAGATGGCGGCCTCGGCGGCGCTGGCCCTACGCTTGCGGAGCGGGCTCCGGCTCGGCGCGCGGGGCTTAAGCACGAGGCTGGTGACGCCGCCCCCCCGGGCTTCGGACCAGGTAAGCCGGACAGTGGTGGGCTCTGGGTACGGAGGCCCCTTCCTGGATTTCCTGGGAGACCTCCGCCGCCCCAGGGTTCTGGCACGTAGCACTTCAGGGTGCTGAATGGAACGTCGTCCGGGTTTCGGGGCCCTTCCCAGCCTCCGGGGTGGCCGACGCTTGCTCCCTAGGGCTAGATGCTGGGGGCTCAAGTGCGTCCTCTGGACTCCATCTCCTTTGGACACCACGTGGGTGCCGGGGGAAAGGGGTCATCTGCTCCTCATCTCAGTGACCGCTCAGGTAATAACTTCAGGGGAAGGGACTCGGGACACCGGGGTCCCAGCTTGGCCTTGAGGGTATTTTCGTCGTGGTGGTGGTGAAGTAGATGTTCGGGCTCCTGATTTGACCTGCCGCATGTTGACTGAGAACTAGTCTTTCTGATCTCCAGGTCCATCACTTCCGTGCCCTACTTCCCTAAGCCCCAGAAAACGATTCCCCCTCTGCCCCACTCCTAGGCCCTTCCCCGCAATATCTTGAGCCCCAGACATGCGGATACGTTAACTCCCCGTTCTATTCCCTCGTGTGTCCTCTATTGCTTTGCTCTCGGCATCCCAGTGTTCCGCCAAGCTCCCTGATTACATTTCCCTGCCCTGCTTTTCTGGGCTCCAGGTTCTCCAGGCTTTTACCTCCAGGATCCTGGGCACCTGGCCTATCAGCTTTTGAAGCCTTGGGATCCTGGAGCCGGACAGTATTTCTTGACTCTTCTGAGAGACCCAATCAATCTCCTGGCCGGCTGCCCCACCAGGAACACAACCCCAGAGGCTATGTGGGTGTTTGCTTCCCAGCGCGACCTTGATTCTAGTCTGCCCAGGATGCCCAGGCCATCCTGACCTCCTCTCCTCTTTTGGCTAACCTACCCTTTCTCAATTGTAGGCCCAGGAGATTGGGAGCCACCCCAGCACTAAGGCCCAGGCACAGGGGTCACAGCAGCAGCGGGGCAAGGAGGGTCCCAGCTATGCCAAAAAAGTTGCACTCTGGCTTGCTGGGCTGCTTGGGGCCGGAGGGACCGTGAGTGTCGTCTATATCTTCGGTGAGGGGCATATCCCTGTCTTACTGGGTTTTTGTTGTTGTTGTTGTTTTAGTGAAGAATGTTTCCCTCTTTATCCTAAGGGCTTCACCCATCATCACTCCCTGGCTCCTCCCACAATACAGCAACCAACTAGAACATCTGCCTTGGAAAGGGGGAAGTCTCCTTCCCCCTTCTACCCTGTGTGTGCAAGGTTCCACTGTTTCTAGTTGGTTCCTGCATTAGGCTATAGAGAATCGCTTGGAAGAGGGGAAGTGGGGAAGGATAGGCCTGGACCAGCTTCCTAAGCTGCTTCTTTCCTCTGCACCCAAAACTCCATTCTTCCCCTAGTCTCTTTTTCCCTCAGAGACCCAGGAGACCCAGCCCCATCTCCTGTTTTCTCATGGACCCAGGGATCCTGGCTACCAACTCCCTCCTCTCTCAATCTTAGGAGAACACGCTTTAAATGCTCTTACCTTACACCCAGGAGTCCAGGTCCCCTGCTTTCTTCCTTGCTCAAGACTGGGTCTCAATTCTTCTCATTCATCCTTGTCTTTCTTGCAGGAAACAACTCTGTGGATGAAAGTGGTGCCAAGGTGAGGGAGAAAGAGACACAGAGGCCTTGCCAGGGGTCCCATCCTGTAGGTACCCTCCCCTTTGGTCTATTCAGGCTCATTTCTGGTCTGGGGTGAGTCTCACCCTCCCAGGCATCTATGCCTGCTCCTTCCGGGGCCCTGGAGAATGCTGTTTGTGGGTGTGATGGGGTTTTGTCTCTGCCATCCCAAACCCTCCATTTTTCTCTCTACGTCATAGATTCCTGATGAATTCGACAATGGTGAGTAAACAAGCATAAATTCTAGAGTCCCCGGATCAGCCCCCTGGTTTGGTTTGCTTTGCTTTGCTTTGCTTTGTTTTGCTTTGCTTTGCTTTGCTTTGCTATGCTTTGCTTTGCTTTGCTTTGCTTTGCTTTGCTTTGCTTTGCTTTGCTTTGCTGTTTGTAGGGATGTTGCCCTACCCATCTGGTGTCCCTAGCCCCTCCCCCTTCTGGGGGGTAGGGGAGTCAGCAGCTGGATGGCTTTGGGTGGAGGGATACTACAAAGCCCCAGTCCCCTTTCCTTGGCCCCTCAGCCCAAGAGCAGATGGTCAGAGACAGATGGGGGAGGGGAGTCTGGGATGGAAGTGCTTGGGGAGAAGGCACTAACTGTGCCAGACACATGGCTTCCTGTGCCTTAGATCTGAGCATATGCAGCCCCTAACCCCCTCCTCTTTATCACTGCCTCTCCCCCCAACCCTTACCCCATCCAGTTCCTCATTTCCAGAACAATGCCGCCCCCCACCCCACCCCCACCCCTTTAGTTAACCAGCTTTTGGTGGGGAATTTCTGACAATTGGATAGTAGAGAGTAGCTGTCAGTTTTGTTACACCTGGCCCTTCCCAGAAGAAAAATAACAATTGGTAGGCCCAGAAAGCCACCTGTTTGTGCTGGGGACATTTGCAAACTGGCATGTTGATTCATTGATTGTTTTAAACTGGGCAGGGGGGTAAATACCAGATTTTAAACTGGGCAGAAGCCAAATCATACTGGTTTAAACAAATCAGCATATAGATTTAAACCAGTTAGGTAAAGAAACTGGTTTAAAATGTGTTTATTTAACTGGTTTCAGTGTTTTGGTTTCTAAAACTCAGAAGTACTTCATTGAAATAGGCAGTTATAAGTTTCCTGCTTTAAACTGGATTTAGTAAATTCAGTTAAACCAGGGTTTTTCAGTCTTGGCCCTATTGATACTTTGGGCCAAATACTACTTTGTTGGGAGGGAGTGTCCTGTGCATTGTAGGGTGTTTAGCAGCATCCTGGGCCTTGACTCCACTAGGTGCCAGTATCCTGACAGTCAGAAATGTCACCAGACATTGCCAAATTTCCTGGGAAGAAGGGGAGACAAAATTGCTCCTAATTGAGGGCCACTGGTTTAAAGTACACAGATGGGGGTATATTGTCAGTATTTTTAACTAGACTCAGCATGCTGGCTTAAAGCAGGCAGATCCGGAAGCCTAATAGTTCCAAGTGGACTAACTATAGTGATCGTGTCAGCAAAGTTATAAGTGGGCAGATGCATAAACATTCTATTTTATATCTGGAGTAGTGTGTGGATAGAAATGTTTAAGTTAAAACTGGACAGGTGAGTAAAGGTATTTGTTCCTGTCTGAGGATTATGTCATAACCTTCTACCTTTGGACTTAAAAATGTGCTGGTTCAAACCAGGTGGATGTATATACTGTTTGTATCTAGTAGATAAGTAAAGCCCTAGTTTTTCCAGAGGTAGAACAGTGGTTTATCTTGGAATCCCTTTGTGCCTGGTATTCTCCTAGATCCAATTCTGGTACAACAGTTGCGCCGGACATACAAATATTTCAAAGATTATAGACAGGTGAGTAGGAGCCCTGGGCCCAGTCCCTAACCCTCCATCCCCAGCCCCCTGCCCCTTTGTCTGAGTGCCCCTGTTCTGCCCCTGTACCACAGATGATCATCGAGCCCACCAGCCCCTGCCTTCTCCCAGACCCTCTGCGGGAGCCGTACTACCAGCCGCCCTACACACTGGTCTTGGAGCTCACTGGTGTCCTCTTGCACCCTGAGTGGTCGGTGTGTCCTGGGGAAGGCAGCGGGTTGGGATCACTGGATCGGCCTGGGTGGCCAGAATATGGTGATGCGGCTAGGAGCCTAGACTGCAGCCAAGCTGGGGTTCAGCCCATGCTCTGTTCTGTGGTCTTGGGACGGAGGTGTTACTGTCATTGCCCCATTTTCCTCAGCTGTGATACCCCCCTCCCGTAGGTTATTGCAAGTGTGCTTCAGCACATAGTAAGTGCTACAGAAGAGCCAGCTATTATTCGGGGACCCAGACCCTCCAGACTCCCAAGCCCTCGGTCACAGCCATATACTTTTGAACCCCCAAGAGCCATAAAGACAGGGAGAACATTGTGGTTCTGGGCGTCCCTCAGGCTGGGTCTTTGTTTTCTTGGGGGCTTTGGGGCCCTCTGGGTCTCAGTGTTTCACTGTTCTTACTGCCTCCCCAGCTGGCCACTGGCTGGAGGTTTAAGAAGCGTCCAGGCATCGAGACCTTATTCCAGCAGCTTGCCCCTTTGTATGAAATTGTCATCTTTACGTCAGAGACTGGCATGGTGAGGCCCTGGCACAGGGGAGGGATGGTTGACATGGGGGAGCTATGAGAGCTGCAGGGCCAGGGCCCAGCCTGACCTTGTTCTCCTTCCATCGTACCTCAGACAGCGTTTCCGCTCATCGACAGTGTGGACCCCCATGGCTTCATCTCCTACCGCCTCTTCCGGGACGCCACACGATATATGGATGGGCACCATGTTAAGGTGCCACGTGGGGGCCGTGGGTGGATCTCTGGAATTGGTGGAGGGCTGGTACTTCCTGAGGGAAAGGACCCAGCTCTGACCTCAGTGTCAGCCCTGCTTCTGGTTCTTCCCCAGGTCTGATTCTGTCAGGACACCAGTCTGCCCCCACGTTGGGCTGGGCTTCTAGGCCCTTCTCAGTTCCCCAGAATCTGACAATGGGAGTGGGGGGAAATGGGGATTTCCCCAAAGGGGGCAGGGTAGGGGCATGAGGTTTAGAAGCCATTTTTGTTTATCTGTAGTCTGGGACTGTGTACTTAGAGTATTTTATCTGAGGCCATGTTGGGGTTTGTTTGACCTGGGATCTGTTGCTGTTAGCAGCAGCATCTGCATGGGTTCAGGAGTTCATGGGTCTGCAAATGGGTCTCTTTGTGGGTCTGGGTTCAAGTTCCCATGTGTTTAGGCGTCTGCTGGTTTTTTCACTGTGTGTTGGTGGGTCTACATTGTCATTCGGTGTTCAGAAGGACATGGTCTGTGATTGAGAATTTTGGAGGGTCTGCTTCTAGGTACCTGTCTTTGAGTGACTCTGGCTATAAGATCTGTCTGCATGTCTTTATCTGGTTGAGAGGTTCACAGACTTGAACATGCCAGTCTCTTGGGGCAGTGGTTGAACACACAAGTGCCTGGCTCCCTCCCCAGGGAAACTAAATCTTGGTGCCAGGCCCTGGGTCCGGGATCGGTGTGACTTGCTCCCTGGGAGATTTATGTCATCACTCCTGGTCTTTGGGAGGCTCAGCCTCGGCAATCACAGATGGCAGTGCTATGCGTTTTTGTGTGAGTGTATGTCTGTGTCTGTCTGTCTTTTTCTCTGTGGGTTCCTGGTGGGAAGGGAAGGAGCACCATAGGCCTTGACCTGACCTGTCACCCACTTCCAGGATATTTCCTGTCTGAATCGGGACCCAGCCCGTGTGGTGGTTGTGGACTGCAAAAAGGAAGCCTTTCGCCTACAGCCCTACAATGGTGTTGCCTTGCGGCCCTGGGACGGCAACTCTGATGACCGGGTCTTGTTGGATCTGTCTGCCTTTCTCAAGAGTGAGGCTGACCCCTGACCTGGCCTCTGCCCCAGGGCCTTTGATTGCCCTCAGGGGAAATGATAGCCATTTGATTCTGGCTTGTTTTTCATGTAAAACTGAGTACTTGGGATGTGGGAGGTCTGTGAGCATCTTACAGTCTTTAGAAGCCTCTTAGAATATTTGGGGTGCTCCTTGGGAATGTTCAGGGGAGCCCTTTAAAGTGTTGAGAAGCATTCCAGGTAGCACCAACTGTGTGTGCCCCCCATCTGACCTTTGACCTTTACCCTTATGGGCCCTGCCTGCCTCTGGCCTTCAGCCTGGCTGACCCCCACCTGCTTTCCCCACAGCCATCGCGTTGAATGGTGTGGAGGATGTCCGGACTGTGCTGGAGCACTACGCCCTCGAGGACGACCCACTGGAGGCTTTCAAACAGCGGCAAAGCCGGCTAGAGCAGGTGGGTATTCAGATCCCCACCTTGTAGGGCTCTTGTAATGACAGACAAATTGATTCTGTACCTGTTCTGAGAAAAGGAGGCAGGAAACACCAAGCGTTTGAGATAGGTCTGGGGGAGAGGTTGTCCTTGATTGTCTCGAGCTGGTGTGGGGGCCCTGGTTTACTGTGGACCGTGGATTGGATCAAGTCTGGGAAGAGGGATCCATGGACACTTGGCCCAAAAGTCTGAGGAAGGAGTTCCGTGATCTAATGTGGTCCCAGTGACTTGGAAGTGGGGCAGAGAGTATGGATTGAGTCTGGGAAAGGTCTAGGCTGAGGTTGACTGGATCCTGAGTTGGGTTCCTGGGAGTAGGGCCAGAGTTCCTTGTGCCCAAAGGAGTCCCTGGAGATTTGGACCCGAGATCACCCTGCATCCAAGACAGGTCACAGGGCCTAGGGCTAGGCACTGGAGGCCCAGGGAGCAGTACAGTGCAGTGTGGTAAAGGGCATAGTCTCACAAGCGTTCACGTTGTGGGTAAATAGGTTCCCAGGATTGAGGAGAGGGGCCCTGTGGGAGCTGGGGTAGGGAATCATGGGGGTCCTGGGATTTGAGTCGGGGCCCCAGTGACTTAGAGCAGTCTCCAGCCAGTGTCTGGGCTCGGTTCTGGGAGCTTGGGGAAGGGGGCCTGGGCTAGGCAGAGGTTTAAAGAAGGTGGCCCCTGGGCTGAGGGCTGGGGACCTGGGAATCTGGGAGGAGTTTCTGCCCACCCTGGCTGACCCTTCCCCATCTGTGCCCCAATCCCAGGAAGAGCAGCAGCGCCTGGCAGAGCTCTCCAAATCCAGCAAGCAGAACCTCTTCTTCAGCTCTCTCACTAGCCGCTTGTGGCCTCGCTCCAAACAGCCCTGACCTCTGGGCCTCCTCAAACTCGGTGCCTGGGTCCCGGACCCAGGCTGCAGTGCTCCCAGACCACGGCTTGGGCAGCCACGTGTCCAATAAAGTCCATCACAGATGCCATACTCCTGTGTCCGGAGATTCTCCAGATGGGGGCATCAGGGTGAGGTTCGAGTGGCTGAGGTTCAGCTGCCAAGCACAGAGTGGGTGCTTTGGTGCATCAGGGCTGGTTTTTAACCCAGGCCTGGGAGTCTGAGAACCTGGGTCCCTGCTCTGGCCATTTTCCTGGTGTACTGCATGATCTGCAAAAAGTTCATCTTCCTTTTCTGGCCTCAGATTCCCCATCTGTGGCCATCTGTGGAAAAGAGAAGAGAGGACTGCCTTGGGGGTTTAAAAGCAGGTAGCTGCCAGGTTGCTGTATAAATGTGTGAAGCGTGGGCTCAGTGGGCTCTGGTGGATGGAGATCTGCCCGCCTCAAGAGGGCAGCTGCTGTTCAGCTCTGCCAACTGTGGCCCCATGGAAAGGTGGGTAGAGAGTTGCTTTATCTTACAATTTTTTTTACATTTTTTTTTTTGAAGATTTTATTTATTTATTTTTAGAAGGGAAGGGAGGCAGGAAGAGGGAGAGAAACATCACTGTGTGGTTGCCTCTCGTACATCCCCTACTGGGGACCTGTCCCGCAACCCAGGCATGTGCCCCAACTGGGAATCAAACTGGCGATCCCTTGGTTCTTAAGCTGACATTCAGTCCACTGAGCCACACCAGCTGGGCCGATCTTCTGATTTTTAATGGAAGTCAGAAATTGGGATTTTTATATTAAATCTTCCAGTTTTTAAATGTTGGCTTCTAATTAAAACAGGCAGATTATAGCAGCACTGTCAATGGAACTTCCTGCGATGTTTGTACCATTCTAAATCTGCTCTGTGCAGTGGCTGCAGGGGGAGATTAAGTACTTGAAATGTGGCTAGGTAACTGAAAAATGGAATTTAAAATTTTGTTTTATTTTAGTTGATTTTAATTTAAATGGCCACATATGGCTCCTGGGTCTTGCATTGGATAACACTAATTAAAGAGTATGGGTTGCAGACTGTCTGAGTTCAAATCCAGGCTCTGCCTACCATTTCCTGACTGTGTGATGTTAGGCAAGTTACTGCACTTCTCAGTGCCTCCTCAGTGTCCACATTTATAAAACAATAATAATGGTGCATGCCCCATGCTCGGCTTGAGGGCTGAGTGAGGCACTCCATGAAGGCACTCAGCTGGTAGCTGTGTGAACTTTGGGCAAGGTACCTTTCTACCTCAATTTCCTCATCTCTGAAACAGAGGTTATGGCAGCACCTGTCTTAGTAGAATGGCTGTGTGGTGTACACGGGACAACCCCCATTCAGGCTGTGTGTGGACTCACACGGGGCTCGTTACCAGGTCATGCTGCTCAATCACAGATTAAAGTAACATGTACAGTTGGGCAGCCCTTCTGAGTTGTACTGCCTATAACATGGGGAAAGTTTGTTACATCCTTAGGACTCCGTAGCTTGAGAACTTTCACAGGATTGAGGGAGGGGACTGTGACTTTTTTGTTTTGCTTTTATCACATTATCTTAAGAATTGGAGGCTGGCTTAACCAGAAGGCTTATGTGTTCGGGCAATGTGACTGGGAAGAGTGTGTATGGGTGGAAGTAGAGCCACCACAAGTGTGTGCTGCCTATCTACCTCATGGGTGACACACTTAGTCCCACAGAACCTGAGGAGCCTGTTGAAATGTAACTCACATCTGTCTGCACAGGGCACGAAAGGAGGGAGGGTGTTTGCCCATTGGCCCCTGTCCTCCAGTGGTCAGGAGTGGCCGCTGGGGGTTAAGGCTCTGACACTCTGGGTGGCACATGCTTCAGTGCCCAGTGGGTTCCCCAGGCCTCTCCAGCCTTGGTGCTGGCTCAGGGATGGTGCTGTGAGGGCACACCTGATCAGGGCTGGAGGGCAAGAGTGGGGGAGAGGGTTTGACTTGTGCACAGGCGTCTTCTGAGACACGGCTTAAGTTGTATGGCCTAGGGTGTTCTCCTAGAATGCTCTAGGGCTGTATTGTGGCCTCTATAAGGCAAGATGTGGCCATCGTTAAGGCACATTCCAGCAGGGTCTGAATTCCCATGTCACACACCATTCGCAAGCCCTGTGACCCTGGACAAGGTCTCAAGCTTCTCAGTTTCCTCATAAGAGGTTGATAATGCCTTCCTCATTCATTCATTATTTCCTAAGCTCCAGCTGTCAGGCCTCGATCTAGGCCAGGGGTGTCAAACTCATTTTCACTGGGAGCCACATCAGCCTCAATGTTGCCTTCAAAGGGTGGAATGTAATTTTAGGACTGTATAAATGTAACTGCTCCTTAACAGTTAAGCAAAAACTCGGTGCTGCTGCCCGGCAGAAAGAGGTGCCTGGTGGGATAAAACAAAGTGGGGGGCTTTGTGTTTGCCACCTGTGGTCTAGGCAGTAGAGGGCATCAGTGCACAAGTTAGATTAAAAACTGCCCTGATGGAGGTGATAATCTCAGAGGAGCTAGACAATGGTCAGATACTTCTTGGGGTAATAAATTCATAAAGAAAAGTATGGAAAGATAGAGTAGTTTGGGGCCCTGAGGTGCTGTTTTAGATGGGATGGAACAGTCAGGAAAAGACTTTGGATGGTGTGTTTCAGCTGAGGCCAAAAGGAAGTGAGGAAAGCCATGGGGGTGTCTGAGTGTGCCAGGCATGGCCACCTCAAAACCTCTGCATTTGATACTCTGCCAGGAATGTTTCCCCCCAGCATCCACGTGGCTTACTCCCTTCCTTTAGGTCTTTGCTCACCTCAGCACGCCTGTGGGCACTTGAGGAAAAGTCCTGATTAGCCAAAAAGCAGCTTAGAAATCCTTTAAAGTACTACAGATGTGAGAGAATTCATGTGAGTGAGATGCTGTTATGCCTGACATAGGCCCTCAATAAAGGCTATTTTTATGATCTTTAAAATTCAGGACCTGGAATGTTACCCTCCCAAGTTACTATCCAGGGCGGGAATTTGCCTTTTCCACCGCTGGTTCTAATGGCTGTCCAAATTCCATTTGAATGACTTATGAGGGGAAGCTCTCTCTACCCCAGTACAGGGCCTAATGTGCCTCCTCGTAACTGGCCCATGAGGTCTGGCACTGCACTTTTGGGGCCACAGACCTGTTTGAGTAAGGGTAATATGGAAGAAGGGCCTCAATGTCAACCTTAGAATCGAAGTGTATTTTGAAGGCACTGGGGAGCCATGGGAGATTCTGTGCAGGAGAACGACATGGTCAGATGTGTGCTTAGAAGACACCATAGGTCAGTGGTCAGGATTGGGATAGAGGAATCACGGGACTGGGAACCCAGGAGATGTCTGGCCTGGGAGTGTTAGGGAAGGCTTCCCACCAGAGGTGAAGTCTGAACGGTGAACGGGTAGAGGGGAAACCTGTGCAAAGGAACCTGGGATGTTCTGCACAATGGACCATGGTCCTCTGCTCAAAATCCGTGACTGCCATCAGAGAAAATGCTTTGGGTTGAATTCTTTCATTCATTAAAAACTACTAAGCATTTACTGTATGCCTGGCTCTGCTGGGCTATGCTTTATTGTTTACTCTGTCATACTTCACTAAAAGAAAAATATGTATGTAAGTTGAACCTGTATTTTTTTTCTATGACTATTAGCCTCTAAGTATTAAAGTTTTTATTCTGGGGGGTTGGCTCCATCGAAAGGGCTTTGTTCAGCACCTGTCACAGTGAGTGGGCTGGATATCTGCTCCTAACTGGCTTTCCTCACCCTGGTCCTGGGATACTAGGGGATTTCTGGAGGGCCCAGGGAGTTCCCTTCCACCCCCTCCATTCACCCTGGAGTGAGGGAGTGGGCCCTTGATATGTGAAGAAGATGGAATTTCCTGCCCATTTGCCCCTCACACCTTCTGGAGGCCAAACGGGTAGCCCAGCTGCAGCTCTAAGGGGGAGGGGCGCCGCCGCTTGGCAGATGGCGGCATTTACATACAGCTGGGAGACCCCCTCAGAGACCGGAGCTCCTTGCCTTGGCGTCTGGTGCATCCGTGACTCGGGTTTGGGAGTATGGCTTTGTCTTGGGGAGGGGAAACACATTCACGGGTCCACAAAGAACCCGAATTTTCATTGTATTCACACGTGGCTACATTCATGGACCTGCCACACTCAGTAGTTCACAACGTTGCACAGACCTTCCCCTCACCCCCTCCACATGTCCACCTAAGAGCCACATGTACAGACCATGAGTCATAGGGTCATAACTACACCCAGTGGTCCAGCATCTCCCATATACTTTCATACATGAGCAGAGGAGCAGCCACACAGCCAACCAATCACGTAGTCATGTAAACATGAAGTCACCTACACTTCCATTCTCTTAGGTATGTACGGGCGGACGTGTGGTACACAAACAATTTGAAATTATTTACAGCCTCACAAACAGACTTAACCATGTGCAATTTGAGATATAGATGTAGTCATATATAATCTTACCTAGACACTATTAAAGTCATGAATACCCTCCAATTGCTCCTGTTCATGCCCCCCCCAGAATCTTATATACGACCCCCTAACCCTACCCCATCCTTAGCCACACAGTCGTGTGTACAACCACACACAAGATCATACACGTTCACTACATTACCTGTACCCACGACCCAAGCACAGTTGCTTCAACACGCTCCCCTTTCCCTCAACCTCCTCCCCTAGGGTTCCCTCGAGCCTCGCGGCTGTTTGAAGGGGCGGAGCCGCCCTCTCAGATATAAGGCTCCGGAGCCAGCAGCAGCGGCTCCTCAGATCTCCTAAAGGAAGGCCATGGTCTGCCCGTGGGTTCCCCAACTGCTGTCCTGGACGGTGATCCTGGCGCTTTTTTTCCTTCCCCAGGTCAGAGCAGAGTAGAAAGGAATGGATGGGAGGGGGTGCGAGCTGGAGGTCTTGGGAAGGGGGCCCCCGGGGAGGATGGAATTCCTGAGTATGCTCGGTCCCCTTACCCTTTGCCCCTTCCGCTCCAGGCACGGCTGGCCGGTGTTTTTGAACTTCAGATCCACTCTTTCGGGCCAGGACCAGACCCAGGGGCCCCCAGGTCTCCCTGCAGCACCAGGTCCCCCTGTCGCCTCTTCTTCAGGGTCTGCCTGAAACCAGGGGTCTCTGAGGAAGCCGCGGAATCTCCGTGCGCCCTGGGCGCAGCGCTGAGTGCGCATGGACCAGTCTACATGGAGCAGTCCCGGGCTCCAGTGCCTGACCTGCCGCTGCCTGATGGCCTCATGCGCGTACCCTTCCGGGAAGCCTGGCCGGTGAGACCAGGCTCCGGGGTACCCGCGTGCTGGAGTCCTTATCCAAACCTTGACCCCTTTCTGCCCTCCAACTTCCAAGTCCCCAACCCTGTCCCCCCAATTCCCAATTTCTAGACCAGTAACTACCACCTGGAAACCCCCTTTCTGAGACCCATGAACCCCACTTACTGGGGACCCCAAAATTTCTAACTCCACTTGCACACTAGTTATCCAAAATGTTATGATCCCAGCCCTGCATGCTCGGGACCCCAAATTCCTGGAACTTCCTAACTCACCCTCTGAAAATTCATAAATTCACAGAACCCTATCTCTATTCCTTGGGGATCTCTAACTACTGGGATCTTTATCTTTATCTCCAAGTCTCCTTGTACCTAGGGACCCTTCCATACTCTTGTCTCGGGGACTCGCAATCTCTTCTCACCTTATCACTTCTCAGACCTTCTGATTGGAGCCTGTATTTATGACTCACCTCCAAAATCCTATGTCACATCCCATAACCCCCAAAGCAAAGAAGTGAACAGACCCGTATTTGAATTCTAGATCCTTGTCCTTTTGGGCAGGTAGCTTCCTTTTCTAGCCTGAGTTTCCTCATCTGTAAAATGGGGTCATCATGGCACTTCACACGGGTCCCTTTGGAGGGATTCAGCCAGTTTATCTTGAGTATAGTCTTTACCACTTACTGAACAGTCAGTAAAGAAAGTCAAACTTGCCATTCCTTCCCTGGGCCAGCACCTCTGGAAATTCTCCCTTGCCTGCCTGGTGCTTGGAATGGTCACCCCTAAACCCTGGCCTTCACCGAGTGCTCACCCTGACCACTGTTTTTCACTCTTTCCTCTCACCCTTCCAGGGCACCTTCTCCCTCATCATCGAAGCCTGGAGAGAGCAGTTAGGGGAGCAGATTGGAGGTGAGTATCTCTAGTCTCAGGACTACTGTGTAGATTGAGTGTGGCAGCTGGGAGTTGGGGTCTGATGTGAGGTCCAGGAGAGTGACATGGGGCTGTTTGTAGGGTGGATTTCTAGACTCATGATGTCATCACAGCTCCTGGAGAGTGGTGCTGGGTATTGACAGGTTTGGGACTCTTGGCATGTTGATATAGAAATGTCTTGGTACTGGATGTAGGAGCCTGTGGTCCCAATACCAGGTAAAGTGGAGGAAGCTCTTACGGTCTTACAATTGGAGCCACCAGAACAGGATAGAGCATCTCACAGCAACAGTCTTGCTCCGTCACCATTTGATTTTGAGAACCAAGGGTATAATATGAGTTACTTCTGGTTCTTATATGTGGAGCTCTATCACTGTGTCCACATAGAGGTCCCAGGGAGCATGGGATTTTGCAGTTTTATTAAAATATTGAGCAACGTTTTCAGGGAGGGATATGGGCTAATCTTTTTTAAATGTATTTTACTTATTTTTAGAGAGAGGGGAAGGGAGGGGGAGAAACATCATCAATGTGTGATTGCCTTTCAAAGGCCCCCTACTGGGGACTGGGCCTGCAACCCAGGCCTATGCTCTGATTGGGAATCAAACCAGTGACCCTTTGGTTCATAGGCCAGCACTCAATCCACTGAGCTACATTAGCCAGGGCGGATATGGGATAATCTTATTCTTAATTTGAGGGGACTTTGATGTCATGTAAGGCCCACAGTGGGGGTTCTGTCATCATTTTGATAGAGAAAGCTGTGGCACAATGTTGGGGTGTGACAGCCTTGCTAGGGGGAAACTGCTACTCTCCTGTTATCCCAAGATCTCAAGCAACAAAGGTAATTTATGATTTAGTAATTGGGGGTCTCTGTTACCATTTTGATTTAGAAAGATTCCCCAGGCACAATTTGGGGATATTATGACATCACCTAAAAACGACCCGTTACTGTCTATTGGCCATATAAAGATATTAAATGTCACAGCCGTTGGAGGTCTCATCACTAATACACAAAGATTGTGGGGCAAAGCATTGGGGTATTTCGGCTTCTAAGGAAGAACTGTGATAATCGTGATGGTCACTAGGTACGAGATGGGATCCCAACATTGAATGTCCCAGGATGCAATAGGGGAGTTGACCGCCCGGCTAAGGGGTAACTGCCATTCTTTGAGCAGAAACGGGGTGTTTTGGCTTCGCAAAGAGGGACGGGGAAGAGTGCGAGTGGGCATGCTCGGATCTGTAGCGAGACTGAGTGCGGCTGGTATCCTGCCCAGCTCATCCTGGTGTTGTTCCCTTCTCCCCGCAGGGCCGGCCTGGAGCCTGCTGGCGCGCGTGGCGGGCCGGCGCCGCCTGGCGGCCGGGAGCCCGTGGGCTTGGGACATGCAGCGCGCAGGCGCCTGGGAGCTGCGCTTCTCTTACCGAGCGCGCTGCGAGCCGCCGGCCGTCGGGGCCACCTGTGCGCGCCTCTGCGGCTCCCGCAGCGCCTCCTCGCAGTGCGGCCCAGGACTGCGCCCCTGCACGCCGGTTGAGAATGAGTGCGAGGCACAGCGTGAGTCCTGAGTAGCCCCAACCCATTTCTGGCCTCTCTTTAGCTTCACTCACCGTCCCGGGACCATTTTGCAACCCGGTTACCCTCTTCAGGGAACTAGGGACTCGATAACCTTCCCCAGGTACCCCAAACACCCCACTCCAGGAAACTAGGGCATGCCGTTGACTGCTGTCTGTGTACCCCAGGCTCTGCTTTAGTTTCACTCATGAACCTTAGCTCGCTCCCACGATCCAGCTACCCACTACCGGTAAACTGAGGCTAGACTTTTCTCCAGGCTTACCTGGGCACTCCAGCCCCCTTTCCTCTTCCCAGCGCTCTTGTTGCCCCAACTAGAAACCCCACACCCATTTCCCATGCCGATGCCCCCCTTCCTCCCCTTTCCAGATGCTAGGACCCCCAAAGCTCTTCTAATCCTGGAGCCCTCTCTATAACCACACAGGTGCTATGGAAATCCCTCGGATTCCCCCCACCCCACCCCACCACCAAAAGATCCTTCATCCTACCTGCAAATGCAAACCAGACCTCATTGCTTTCTAAATCTTGGGATCCCCGACCTCCATCCAGGCTGCCCTCAGACTGCTCCTCAAGTTTCTGAGCCCTCCGAAGCTCCTAGGACTCCCAGGCTTATCCAGAATCTCCCAGGCCTGCCTAATCCAAGGTCCTCCCATCTGCCCTGAAAGGCCAGGGACCCCTCCCCAATTTCCAGATGCCCTTCCCTCATTCCCCCCTCTCTAGGCTCAGACCTGTGAGTCCCCACTCCATTCTTTGTCTGGAGCCACTGGCCTGGGTTCAACTCCTCACTACTTCACTTTCTGGCTGGGTGAGTCATCCCACCTCTCTGGGCCTCAGTTTTGCTGTCTATTAACTGAGGGTTGCAATATCATCCAGCCCAGAGGGTTGTCTGTCATAAGGAAGAAGCAAGTCAGTGCACAGAAAGTGCTCAGAAACGCCTCTGATTTCTATCCTCCCAACTCTGCCCTCATCCACATTCCTCTTCCCTTTGCCTCTCTGTCTGCCACAGCGGCCTGTCGAGCTGGTTGCAGCCCAGAGCACGGCTTCTGTGAGCAGCCTGACGAATGTCGATGCCTGGAGGGCTGGACTGGGCCCCTCTGCACAGTACCGGTCTCCACCAGCACATGTCTGAGCTCCAGGGGCCCATCCTCTGCTGCCGTTGGGTGCCTTGTATCTGGTCCTGGGCCCTGTGATGGGAATCCGTGTGCCAACGGGGGCAGCTGTAGTGTTAGTATCACACCCTCCCAGCTCATCCTGATCAGTGTTTTACCCTGGGAGCTCCCACCACCCCCTGACTGGGGCCCCATGAGACAACAGTCTGTGGGGTGGGGGAGGGGGGGCAGGGTTAGCTGTCAGGGGTGGGCTTCCTAGAGGTGTCCAACCTGCATCGAGGATGAGGTTCTAGGAGTGGGATTGGGGAGAGCAGGCCCAGTGGGTGGCACCTAAGGGTGTGGTGTGGGACTGACAAGTCCTGTGGGGCCACAAACTGTCCTTCCTGTGGGACAGAGAACAACTCTGGACTCAAGTAGCTGGCATGGGGATTTGGGATTGGGGCCCATCAGAGAGGGCTTCCTGGAGATGCACCCAGTGCTTGGGCTTCTGAAGTCCGATTTGGCTGAGGGTAGGTGCCTGGAGATGATGGGCCAGGTGAGTGGCCTGGCATAAGCAAAGGTATGGCTGTTGGAGTGAGCCTGGTGCGCACTGGGATACTGCAGAGCCCAGAGTGGGTGCCTTGGACACTGCCAGCATGGGACAGGGAGACACACTCAGGGTTCAGGTTAGGGGTAAGGCCTGCAAAGGGGGGATCCAGGGAAGGCTCCACAGAGAGGGGGGCTCAGAGCTGGGAGCTCAGAGTAGGACTGGCTATGCAGTCAGAATTGGGGAAGGCAGACTAAGCAGGCAGCGTTTGGTAGGCGAGGGAGTAGAGGTGGGAATGGGCTCTCTTTGGGCCTCCAGAGCCTCTTCCCTGTGAAGTTGGATGGGCAGACTCAGAAACATGGGGTGGAGGGAGGGTTTGTCTTGGGAGGTCTTTCCAGGTGAGGCCCCACATTCTGGGAGGTGGGATGTGACAAGGAGCAGCTCCCATAGTCAAGACTAAGGAGGGGGGTGGGATTTTGCTCCAAGGAAAACTCAATCTGAAGTCCTCTTGCCCTTGCCCAGGAGACACTCGGGTCCTTCGAATGTGCCTGTCCCCGTGGGTTTTACGGGTTGCAGTGTGAGGTGAGCGGGGTGACATGTGCGGATGGACCTTGTTTCAATGGCGGCTTGTGTGTGGGAGGTGCAGACCCCAACTCTGCTTACGTCTGCCACTGCCCGCCCGGGTTCCAAGGCTCCAACTGTGAGAAGAGGGTGGACCGGTGCAGCCTGCAACCATGCCGGAATGGTGAGGTGGGGAGACCAGAAGGGTTGGGGCTGGGGGTGGGGGTCCCTGCACAGTCAGTGGGCAAGAGCAGGGCTTGGTTCAGACAGTCCCGGGTGGAAGTCCTGGCTTTGCCTCCTTTAGCCCTGTGGCCTGGGAAAGTGCTCCTCTTCCCAGCCCTAGTTTATTCTTTTGTCAAGTGGGTAAGGTGATATTCCTAACTCATAAATGTTTATTGAGCATCTACTGTGCTCCAGACTTTGTTCTAGGCCTTGAGGATACAGCAGGGAATGAAACCAAAACCCCTGCCCTGATAGAACTGATAGGGCAGATAGAGAATAAACAAGATAAGTAAGTACATTATGTGGGAGGTTAGATGGTGATAAAACCTAAGACAAATAAAGCCAGAAGGGGGTGGAGGGGCAGGTTGATGTTTTAGCTAGAATGGTTAGGGAAGACCTTGCTGAAGGTAGTGAGGGAAGGAGCAATGGGGGGAGCTGGAGGGAAGATTACGTTCCAGGCAGAGGGAATAGCAAGTTGTGAAAGGCCCGAGGTAGAAATGTGTGTGGTGTGTTGAGGATCACAGGGAAGCCCATGTGGCTGGAGCAGTGAGGGAGGGGAGAACTGTGAGAGATGAGGTTTGGGAGGTGACCAGGACAGATCTTGTGGGACTTCATGGGCTATAGGGAGGGTTTTGGTTTTACCCCAAGAAAGACGGAGCCATAGGAGGTGTCTGAGTGGTGAAGAGACCTGATTTGAACTAGGTGTTAAAAGTTTAAATATGAATGTAAAGGGCTTGGTGCATTCTTCCAGTTCCCACCAAAACACTCACTGAATATGCATTCTGGGCTGAGTGGTACTAGGGACACAACAGCGACCAGGACAGCTCTGGTTCCTGCCTTCATTGGGGGTACCAGCCCAGAGAGGAAGACAGTCTTTCTCGGCTAGAGTCCAGAGTAGTCAGGGTTGTGATGGGGGAGTGGCAGAGGAGTCCCGGAGGGGCTTCCTGGAGGAGGGGACATCTGAGCAGAGACCTGAAGATTGACTTTGGAGGGGAAGAAAAGAAGGAAGGGACAAGGGAGGAGGCACGGGCAAAGGCCAGGTAGTTCAGACCCATCGTTCTGAAATTGTTAATTATTTAAGTACGGTGAAGTCTAGAGAAAAAGAGAGCCAACGAGGTGAGGCTGAGTTAATCCAAGACTTCACCAGCGGGCAAGAAGCTCCAGGCACACTCCCAGAGACTGGCCCTTGACTTGGAGACAGAGGGATGGGAACTGGAGAAAAGGGGTTTACAGAGCTGAGGAACTAGCCTGGGCAGGTTGCGGGACCAGCCGCACGCCTGACCCCACTACCCCACAGGTGGGCTCTGCCTGGACCTAGGCCACGCCCTGCGCTGCAGCTGCCGCGCCGGCTTCGCAGGGCCACGCTGCGAGCACGACTTGGACGACTGCGCAGGCCGTGCCTGCGCCAACGGGGGCACATGCCTGGAGGGCGCTGGCTCCCGCCGCTGCTCCTGTGCGCTGGGCTTCGGCGGCCGTGACTGCCGCGAACGCGCTGATCCTTGTGCCACTCGGCCCTGTGCCCACGGGGGCCGCTGCTACGCCCACTTCTCTGGCCTTGTATGCGCCTGCGCTCCCGGCTACATGGGCGCGCGCTGCGAGTTTTCGGTTCACTCCGACGACAACGACGGCAGCGCAGGTGCATTGCCCGCAGCCCCACCCGGCCTGCGGCAGAGTGACCCACAGCGCTTCCTTTTGCCACCAGCTTTGGGGCTGCTGGTGGCTGCAGGCTTGGCCGGCACTGCGCTTTTGCTGGTTCACGTGCGACGCGGTGGCCCTGGCCGACGTGCTGGGTCTCGCCTGCTACCGGGGACTCCGGAGCCATTCGTCCATGCACTCCCGGATGCCCTCAACAACAGGAGGATGCAGGAGGGTTCCGGGGATGGTCTGAGGTGAGGCGCTGTGCCGCAGAGGCATGCCTTGCGCCTCTGGGCTGCTTGCTGTCGATCTCCATTGTGCGATTGGCCCAGTTCCTTGATGGGCCTCCCGGATTGTCCCTTCCTGTTATCCGTGACCCAGCCCCTTTCTGAGTGGGTTGTTCCACAGTTCCCCTAGTTGGCTTTGCGTTCCCCTCTGTGTTTGGTGGGGAAAACGAGATCTGAGAATTTAAAAGAGCCTGGGTCCTATTCTTTTTTCTCGCAGCCCGTCTGTAGATTGGAACCACCCCGAAGATGGAGACTCGCCTGAGATTTACGTCATATCTGCTCCTTCAGTCTGTGCTCCGGAGGTAGCTACCCTGCTCCACGCCGCCTGCAAACATCGCGCCCCCTGAGTGGAGGCAGCCCCTGCTTTGCCTGCCGCCTTCCTTTACTATTTCTGTAAAATCTGGAGGACAGGGTCTTTGGAAGGTCCTTAACCTGCTTTTCAGTTCTGACTCAATTTAATTCTATCAGTAGCCCTCTTGCTGCCCTTTTGAGCTGCTTGCTACCTTCTCTTTGGAAGACCAGTGGCCCAGTCGGGAGCCTCAGGCAGACGGCCGCTGGTCTCACCTCACTGGGGAGAGTGAGAGGAGGAGGAGGGGCAGCCTTTTCTAACGCCTCCTCCTCATTTTCTTTCTAGGCCTGATCTGTTCCTTTTCCGTCAGCACCTGGAGACAGCCTGGATATTTTTGTGTTTACTTGACGGCGCCCAACCAATCTTTGCCTCGGGCACTTTGGAGTTCAAGCTGGAAGGGGTGGCTGGGAGAATTTTACCGCTGGAAGTACATAATGATTATTTATGTCGTTTCTTTTTCTTCCCATGTCCAGAGACATCTATAAAGACTCTTATTTTCATCAGCTTTGACTCATCAGACTGTGTGCTTTGTATCTGGTGTTGGGGTTGTTTTCACGCTGGGCCTGAGGCTAAGAGCAGCCTCCTCTGGCACATTTCCAGGCAGTATGGGAAGGGGCATAGTGAACCATGTGCTGAGATGCTTAATACTTCTGCTCACATTTTATTGGCTTAAGCAAGCCACATGGCTAAGTCTTGTGTCTATGGGCCAGCAAGTAAATGCCCTGTGAGGGAGGAGCAGTGAATATTTTGAATGGAATAGAGTCTGCCGTAGATATATACCCAGGAGAGAAATTGTTTGATTTTAGGGCATAGCTCCCAATTTCACCAAGTATTGACAAGTTGTTCCTGCAGGCCACACTCCCACCAGGACCTACAAGAATTCCTGGGGAGACTGCCTTTTCCCTGTGCACACCTCTGTTCTATTGAAAAGTTTTCCCATGTGTACATATTATTGTTTGGAAAACCTCAGGAAGGTCCCCCATGACATCACCAGGTAATGACTTTTTCTTTCTCACGGGTAGTGCATAGTATAGGAGGCCGGTCCTTTCTGTTGTCCCTAAGGGAGGTGCACGAAGATCTGCTCAGATCAAAAACGTTGGATATTGGCAATTTGATATAATTCACCTGGCTATCAATTTACAGGAAATTCAGGCATATGAGGACATGTTATGTAACACATTGGGGATGAGCAAAACCCAGACTGGGGATTCTATGGGATACATGGTTGGCTTCTGCAAAACATAATTAACCTTTCACTTCTCACCTACTACAATGACTATACTCACAATGACAGACAAAAACAAGTGTTGGCAAGAATGTGGAAAAATGGGGATTGTCATGCCCTGCTAGTGGAGTGTAAAATGCTGATGCTCCTTTGGAAAACAGTTTGGCAGTTTAAAAAAAACCATAAACATAGAGCCCTGGGTGGGGTGGCTTAGTGGATTGAGCGCCAGCCTGTGAACCAAAGGGTTACCGGTTGGACTCCTAGTCAGGGTACACGCCTGGGTTGTGGGCCAGGTTCCCAGTAGGGGGCATGTGGGAGGCAACCACACATTGATGTTTCTCTCCCTCTCTTTCTTCCTCCCTTCCCCTTTCTTTAAAAATAAAATAAAATCTTTTAAAAAGTTAAACATAGATACCATATGACCCAGCATGTCTACTTTTAGGTATTTACCCAAGAGAAAAACATATGTATGTATAAAAACTTGCATGTAAATGTTCACAGAGGCATTATTTAGCATAGCCAAAACATGAACACAACCGAAGTGTCCATCAATTGGTGAGTGGCTAAACAGAATACAGTCTATCCCTACTGTGGGATATCATTTAGCCATAAAAAGGAATGAAGTTTGGTACATGCCGCCACATGGATAAACCATAAAAACATGCTCAAATGAAAGATGCTGGTCACATACGATTCCATTTATACTAAATGTGCAGAAGTAAATCTATAGGGACAGAAAGGAGATTAATGGTTGTGTGGGTCTGGGAGAGGGACTGGAGATGAACTGTAAGTAGGCAGGAGGGATCTGACTGGGATGAAGGGAATGTTCTAAAAGTGATCCTGGAGGTGGTGCACAACTTGGCCAATTTACTAAAAATCTTTGAGCTGTACACTTAAAACAGGTGAATTCTGTGGTCCGTAAATGAGACCTCAGTAAAATTGTTTTATAAAAAAGCAAATAATTATCAAGGGAAGAAAAGGAAGGAAGGGTAAACCTATAAATGAAAAGAAACTAAAGAAATACAAAAGAAGCAATGACATGATTACCATAAAAATCAGTATAACATCTTATTTATTTACTTATTTGTTTTCGAGAAAGGAAAGGAGAAGGAGAGAGATAAGCGTTGATTTGTTGTTCCACTCATTCATGAATTCATTGTTTCCTTCTTGTATGTGCCCTGGCTGGGGAACAAACCTGCAACCTTGGTGTATTGGGACAATACTCTAACCAACTGAACTACCCGGCTAGGGCTCCAACATGATATTGATATGGTGTATGGTAGGGGAACACTGGAAATTGTTTGGGAGGGGGTATGCAGAGCGATTATGAGAAGCTACTGTCTTCATATATGGTGGTTGCAGGTATATTTGCATTATAGTATCACCATATGTTGTCATATAAGTTGTTTTTTAAAATATATTTTATTGGTTATGCTATTATAGTTGTCCCAATTTTTCCCTTTTGCCCTTCTCCACCAGTATCCGAATTCCCTCCAGCAGTACCCCACCCCTTAGTTCATGTCCATGGGTCATGCATGTAAGTTTTTTGGCTTCTCCATTTCCTATACAGGGGGATGTTCTTAACATCCCCCTGTCTATTTTGTACCTACCAATTTATACTTAATCACTGCACCTTTCCCCCCATTTTCCCCTAACCCCTCCCAACTGATAGCCTTCCAAGATATCTATATGTATAATTGTTTCTGTTCTGCTCGTTTGCTTAAATTGTTTTGTTTTTTTCAATTGAATTGTTGACAGTTGTGAATTTACTGCCATTTTAATGTTCATAGTTTTGATCTTCTTTTTCTTGTATAATTCCCTTTAACATTTCATATAAAAATGGCTTTGTGATGATGAACTCCTTTAGTATTACCTTTTCTGAGAAGCACTTTATCATTCAATTCTGAATGATAGCTTTGCTATATAGAGTAATCTAGGTTGTAGGTCTTTGCATCACTTTGAATACTTCTTGCTGGTCCCTTCTAGCCTGCAAAGTTTCTTTTGAGTAATCAGCTGACAGTCTTATGGGAACTCCTTTGTAGTAACTATCTGCTTTTCTATTGCTGCTTTTAAGATTCTCTATGTTTAACCTTTGGCATTTTAATTATGATGTTTTTTGGTGTGGTCCTCCTTGGGTGTGTCTTGTTCGGGACTCCCTGTGCTTCTTGGACTTGTATGTATATCTATTTCCTTTGCAAAATTAGGAAAGTTTTCTTTTATTATTTTTTCAAAGTGTATTATTTCTTGCTTTCTCTTCTCCTTCTGGCACTCCTAAGATTCTGGTGTTGGTACGTTTGAAGATGTTACAGAGGCTCCTTAGCCTATCCTTTTAAAAAAAAATTCTTGTTTTTCTTGCTGTTCTGATTGAATGATTTTTTCTTCCTTATGTTTCAAATCATTGATTTGATTCTTAGCTTCCTCCACTCCACTGTTGGTTCCCTGCAGATTTTTCTTTATTTCACTTAATGTAACCTTCATGTCTATCTGGGTCTTTTTTATGCTGTTGAAGTACCCAGTGAGTCCCTTGAGCATCCTGATAACCAGTGCTTTGAACTCTACATCTGATAGGTTGCTTATCTCCATTTCTTTAGTTCTTTTTCTGGAGTTCTGTTCCTTCATTTGGGCCATATTTCTTTGTATCCTCAATTCGGCAGCCTCCCTGTATTTGTTTCTGTGTATTAGGTAGAGCTGCCTTGACTCCCTGTCTTAGTAGTGTGGCCTCTTGTAGAAAAGCACACCTGTAAGTTGTATGGGGTGGAGCCTTAGGTAGTCTCCAGGGTGGGGCAGCTCATGTCACCATTTTGTGGCTCTGTGTGGGTGAGAGCTCAGTGAGGGGACAGCGCCACTGTCTGGCCTCTGGAGTTTTGTCCAGGCGGAAGCTGTCTCCCGGCACTCACTCTGTGGCCAGTCACTTTACTTTTTTCCTCTATGCCACTGATGCCCTTACAGCTGTTGCCCTGGTGCTGAATCCCAGGGGGAGTGAGTCTGTGTAAGTCCTAAGTCCATTGCAGACCATTTAAGAGAAGTTTCTTGAGTATGCCGAGGTTTCTTCTGGCACCCCAACCCCCAGTGGTTTTTACAGCCAGAAGTTATGGGGATTTATCTTCCTGGTGCTGCAACCCTGGGCTGGATGATCTGGTCTGGGGCTAGGATTCCTTATCCCTGAGGTGTCCCTTCCAGTTTTTATCCACCACACATGTGTGCGGGACCACCCACTGCCTCTCTGCTCCTCTCCACATGTCTCTGTCCCTCCTACCTGTCTGGATGAATGTGGCTTCTTTAAATCCTTGGTTGTCAGACTTCCATACAGCTTGATTTCTGATGAATCTGGGTGATATTTATTTTGTAGTCTAGTTGTAATTTTTGCTGTAGTTGTGCAAGGAGGTAAGGCGTGCTTACTTATACCACCATCTTGACTGGAAGTCCTGTTATATAAGTTGTTTTATGCAGTTATCTGTGTTTTTTTAATTTAACACAGTTTTAATTAAGTTTTATTTATTTATTTTTTATATATTTAACACAATATTTTAAAAATGTGGCTAGTTGTATCAATTATCTATTGCCATGATAATGCTGCATAACTTCAGTAGCATAGAACACTAAACATTTATTTTTGGTGCCTAGTCTACAGGTTGGCAGGGGTTCTGTTGCTCTGGGCTGTGCTGTGTGTGCAGATCTGGGAGGGGTTCACAAATGTGTGTGTAGTGAGCTCAGGGGTGGGCTGGGGACTGGCTGTACTGTGCTCTGCTGTGCTGCTCTGCTCCACCTGGCCTGTCATCCTCCAGCAGGTTGGCCGTGGTTTATTCTCATGGGTGACATAGGGATCCTACAGAGAGTAGACCACATTGACCGTGTCACTTCCCCCTCACCCTGTTGGCTAAAGCAAGTCATAAGGCCAGCCCAGGTTCTGGGAGTGGGGAAACAGACTCCATCTCTTAATGAGGAAAGGAACAAAGTCACATTCTGAGGGGACCAGTCAGGGAAGGGTAGGGAATTGGGGCTACTTTTGCAATTAGTCTCCAACACTGGAGTGCCTGCCCCCATTGGAAGGTAAAATAACCAGGCTGTTGGATATAGACACTCCTTTTTCTTGACATCAGATTACTGAAAAAACAATAAACAAAACAAAAACAAGTAAGCTGGATCATGGATGTCATTCATACAAAGAATCCATCGATTCCTTGGTGCTGCCAG